TAATTAACTGCACCTGAAGAAAAGATGACTAATGTGCTTTAAGAAGTTTCAGATATGCCGAGAGATTGACAATGAAATTATCAAAAGCCTAGTGCGATATTGAATTTTATGTATGTGCCTCGTTTATTGTTTAATTCCTGAATTCGTCAGGTTTAAATTAACAAATAAACATCTTGCTTCATTTCCTCAACAGAAGAAATTTCAACAACAACTGCTTTCTATTGAATTGTATTGAAATTAATGAAGTTTTGATCATATTTTCATCTCATCATTGTCATAGAAATAAGTTACATCTAAATGACAAAGAACAGGCAAAAAGTAACTAGAATCAAGAATTTTCATGAGATGAAAATTTCGATTCTCCATGATGCTGCAGACAATTACATCAACTTAGCAGAGAACGCCCTTGAACCTCTCAATATAAAACCAAAACTTCAATGTGGGTTTATAAAAAATAAACATGACTGAAACAAGAGAAACATCTCTTGGAAACCTTTTTTGCAATAAAATTAAGTGATGAAGAACGACGTACATTAGAAGGAATCAATATAGACAAGTTATTAGTCATATTAAAAACTGATTATATGAACAAAGTAACTCAAATTTTGCAAGATCCGAAGAAGTAAAGTACGATGGCAAAGAAGAAAAATGTATCCAACTAGATCGCTCAAATTATTGAAAGATAAGAAAATCATAAGAAAAGAATATGATGAATGAATTGCCTCAGGTAGCTCGATATCAGTGCTCTATTATACAATAAAGGTAAATAAACCTAATCCTCTAATAAGACCAACAATTACAATGTATAATGCTTCAAATTATAAACTTGTAGCATTTCTTGCTAATATGATAAACAAGTAAGAGAAAGAAAGTCACTTATATGTTAAAGATTCCTTTCAATTTCTCAATACTATGGGGAGCTGTAGTTATCACTATTCCTTCTTAACAATGAGTATGCACAAGGTCCTAGGCTCGTTTTCGGTGATTTGAGTTTTTAAGGGATCCATTGTAAGATATCGATCCAAGACACTAACCTCTTTGCTTTGGATCGCAAATGAGTAAGTTCCAATAATTGAAAATGTGTTACAACATGAATAATGCAATTCTGATGAAGAAGTGAATACCTAGTTTGGGACTCTTATCAATAATTTTTGCAGCAAGTCATTTCTTGACCACGAAATCTGTTTTCACCATGAAGTTGTACATCTTCGATGGGTCTTCCTACTTTTATGGCTCAGCGCTCCGTCTACTTCATTTCTCTGGAGAAAAACTCATCTGAGAACTACGATTTTTAGTGAAGGTACCTATCTATAAACTGTAGCTGCAATAAATATTTCACACCTCTATCTTACTGGAATCACCAGTTATAAAGCACAAAAGCTACCTAAAATGTAAATTTTCGCCCATATTACTCGAGTCAGAGAAAATATAGTATTTGATGCTTTAAATTAATAGTTTTATTCTGAGAGAAATTCATAAATATAAATATATCTAGAAAAAATTTCACCGCAACCAGTCAAACCCTTCTACAAGTATCCTCTCCACAAGTCCTCTATTTTTTTGCTCTTTATTGGCACAGATTTCAACAAAGAATTCATTAAAATATGAGAGTTCAATATTTTTCCAAACGGCTTGCTTCGAAATTCATCTCGTTGGAAAAAACTCAAAGCCGACATATGCATGAAGGATATAGAAAAGTAAAGAAAACTATATGAACGATACAATCACTAGTAGAATATCTTCTGTGGCTCAAATGAAGACTCCTGGCTATTTGGACACAAACCATTTCTATACTTATTAAATAGGCTGTTTTTCATTCTATTTGAATCCATAAAAGAATTTCTAGTCCCGTTGAATTTAAGATAGAACAGAGCATGGACATCTCTATATGAGAACGAAAGGGAAAAAAGTCATATATATGTATGGTTTTTGCAGAGCAAAATTCGATCTATCGAATTAAAGATTCTTGAAGGTATATTGAACGTTTACGTCATAAATTTTCAAATGCAAGCCATAATTCAGATATGATGTTCCAAGAAAAGGCTGATTCTAGTTTAATTTTTCTGATTAAAAAATCTATTAAAATAGCAATGTTTTTAGTCAATTTTAATACAATTATTTCATGTTCAATCCATTTTGATCGAATGTAATTGCCTTTTCAAAAATAATTTTGAATGATTAAGCCTTGCCTATAAAATGAAGTTAATTAGAAATGTAATCGAGTTTTTTTTTCTGCTACACGTCTTAAGAAATCTCAACATGAAATGACTGGTTGCTCAAAAATTTTATGAACAAGGAAAAAACTGCAAGAAAGAAGATCAAATAAAAAGTTGTCTTTCATTCGGAAGATCTAATTTTAATCGACTAAATTAAAAGATGATCGATTTTTATCAAATACGGGTCAAGAATAGAAGATCACATTATATTAGAAGACTATGCGTTCTCAAAAATTTTATGTCGGAAATTCTGCTAACTTTATGAAATTCAGCACATAGAAACTTGGCTTTTCAGTAACAAATAGAGACCTTACTTTATTATTAATTATAGTAAAGAATAAGTATAAATAAAATATCTATCTTTTTAAAATTAAAATAATGAAGTCCTTTGCATTTGAGAAATAAACAAAAAAATAAAAAAAATAAATCTTTATTATTTAAAGATAGAGATACATTAATTCTTTATTTTCAAAAATATAGAATAAAGAAAGATTTGTTCTGTCATAGATAGATAGAGAAATACCTAGTTTAACAACTGGATATTTGAATCAATATTCTTTCTTGCCATCAATATCACTTCGACATGTGATATTATTAGAAAATCAAGCGGGTACAAGAAAAAAAAGAATATATATGCAAAAAAAATTTTCTGTAAATTTCATTTCCATCTATGGTGTCGCACCTTTTTGTGAGCTACTTGGTGAAAAATTAAAGATTAGATTCTCATAGAAAAGCTTTCTTCATTATTTATTTTGTCTTTGCTTTATATAGAGGTAAATAAGAAAAAAATCTATATTTTTATTTTGTAAATATGAAGATTGAACTTATATTTATAAAATAAAGTAAAGTAAAGAAAACGTAACCCTAGTAAAAAAAAAACATTTTTTTGCAACTAAAATTACATTTTTCCTAATAAAAGTTTTTTTTTCTAGTGAAAAATCTGGTATTTCACAGGATTTAGTCACTAAAAGCACCTGAGAATATCATTATTTTATCGAAGCTTAAAACCTTGCAATAGACACACTCAATTTACAAGTATTATTCTAACCTGCTATGGCCTGTGACGATCTCTAATACAGACGAAACAGCAGATACAAATAATTGACGAACGTATGTGATGGCCTATGAAGTATATATTTCAAACAATTTTATTATATTGAAGTAATAATACTTAATGCTTCTTTTCTATAGAAGTTATCCCAACAGATTAACATAACAATATGATTTTTACACTAACTCGAAGTGTTACGTATCAGTATTTCAAAAAAGAAATTTGTCCTTTAAAATGCTACAATGCTGTAATTGAAGCATGAGAAGCAGTTTATCTACACTTCTACTGCTAAACTTGGAGTATCGTATCTCAATCAGATAGATCCATGAAAGTAAATTCTTACTTGAACTTGTACTATTTCATTCTCGCTCTAGCTGAAAATTTAGCTCCTAAATATGGCTCTCTCTCATAAGATATACTATGCATAAAATACAGAAAAATCACATCTTACTTGTAAACTTTTTATTTTCTAAAGTGAAATATATAAAAAATACCAAACCCAAGATATATTCATGGTAAAAATTTTAAGCCAAAAGGATTTATTCTTGATTAAATATGAATAGCATAAAAAAAGATGTCTTTTGGCGATAATGCTTTCAGAAAAACTTGAAAACCTTGAGAACAGAACAATATTTTTTCGAATGATTGACATAAAAATTAATTAAACACACGCAAAAACTAGTTAAATCAGTGTTTGAATGTAGAAGTTCATTGATCGTTCATTACAGATGGAAAAGCTTAACATGCCAAACAGTGATTTTGAGAAAACTGATATGTAAAGTATCTATAATAGTATATATGCATCTCACATGATGCTATGTACAGGCAAATTTTCATTGAAATTTTTGATATCCACTGAGTCCATAGTCTGTTTTATTCAGGGTCTTCTCTTTTATACAATGACATCTAGGTAGTCGAATTGAATAAGATATCTTCAACTTTGAAACAAAAGTAAAGTAGAATTTCTAATTTCTGACATGAAATAAAATAAAATGTTCGAACAAATAGCAATAACATTTATTTTATTCAAAAAAAAAACCTAAACTATCGAAGAATTATTGAAGAATGAAAGACATAAAACATAACACTGCTGTATCTAAAAAAATGCTGAATTAAAATAATAATTTATATTTCGTTTATCACTATTGTAGATGTTCATAAAACATTCTACAAACAAAGAAAACTATATAATGACTTCATCAAATACTTTACCTTTGCATTATTCACTATGAAGAAAAACAAAAGAACACATAAACGTAAATAAAATAATCTCTTTGATTTAATTACATTTTAAGAGATCGAAAAAAAAATCATCGATGAGACTTGTGAAATTTTAGGAGTGATTGATGTGCGATGTGTATTCACTATTATCGAATCTCGTCGAAGACCTCGTCTTGACTGATCACTAGGACCGATGGTTTCATCAACTATTTAATTACAAAAAAAAAGAGTCATTTTCTTTAGTTACATAAATTATAAATATACTTGATTCCTCTGCATCGAGACGACGTAGTTCAGGCACTTTAATACGTTCACCTCCCACCATTTTCATACCATCCATTGAACAACGAAGATATCCTAATACATTATCTTGCTAAACACATATATATTACTAATCATTTTTACTCGACTCTCAAGTATTTGCATTTTCTTGGCTATTGAATCTTGTGGTGTTTGTCTAAACATACAAAAATATTAGAAAAAAAATTGCTTTTTAAACTATCAACTTACACTCATTCATCATCACGATCATGTTCTTCAGTGAATTTTCCAGCACTCTTCATACAATTATAATAAACTTCATCACCAAATGCATCTTCAATTGTTTCAATATTACTAGCAAATTTTTCTTCTAGCTTAATTGCTCCAATGAAGAAAAAAAAGAAGATTTAAATCAAAATGAATATAAAAAAGGTTTTTCTTATCATATTTTGTTCGTTTTATATGTTGATCATGTTTTTCTCTAATCCATGATGACTTAGAACATACTGATAAAGTAGTTAATATCAATCGCCAATGATGAGCAACAATAATAAATGGAGGTGGTATTGATGGTCGAGATAAATATTCACATATTAATGAATATCGTTGAAATTTCCATATTCGATCTGTATCATTTTGAAGACGATCGAAGATATTACTAGAAAATGAATAATTGGAAATTACATAGATTCCATCGATCTTACGTCACGAAATAAATAAAAGCCAGATATCTCAAGCATCGAAATGAGTTTTTCAGAAATCTTAGTCATTTCCTTCAAACTAAAAGATGAGCTATGTAGATTTCAACAATGAGCAACATTGTCTCTGTCTATTTAAAATTCTGTTTCATGCATAACGAACAATAGACGTCAATAAACCGTCCAAACATTTAAACTCTTTCTAATAATGACATATACATGAATATTGTTGAAATATTAGTATACCATCAGAGAAATTAAATAATTATAATCAAGAACTATTTCGTTGTGAATAATAGTTTAGAATTGCTATGGATCTTTCCTCACTTAATCTAGACCTACTAAAACGTGAACCTGCAGCTGGCTAGTGAACCATTTATGGTTTCACAGCCTTTCAGTATGAACATTTTGGCGACTATAATCTCGTTCAATACCTGAACATTGCAATAAGTAGATTAACCAAAAGTATACTAACAATACCCATATAAGTAACACGTAAAATAAATACAGCATAACCAGTTGCATGATAATTGTTTGAATGAAGAAGAATTTATTCTTTGAAGAATATTCTTGTTTTCTTAATTTCAAATTTAGATAACATATCTAGTTCTCTAAATATTTCCCAATAAGACAGATGTAGAGCTTCACGTAGAAAATGCCAAATAAATTGTTTTGTACCATGAATAAGACTGTGAGATGATACACCAAAACCCAAAATAAATACAAATAACAAAACCATATAAAATTTTCAGATCATATACCTTAGAAAAATTTTCCAAAAAAGTCAAATGATAAATTTTTTCTTACCATTTCACCAATCATAACAAGTTTAGGACCGAGTCGTTTAATAGCTACAAATATATCTAATGAACGTATAAACCAAATTATTATATCAATTGGCCAAACAATACATGCTGCATAAAAACATTCCGTTAATGGTATACATCGAAGTATAAAACTAACACAAAAAAGTATTATAGCTAGAACATCTAATTTATTCCAAAAAACTTCAAAATATTGTACTATTGCATTGCAAGTCGTTTGTGCTTCCAATGAAAAGAGCTATAAAGACATTAACATCAAAAAATAAGACAAGTCATATTTATATTACATGTCGCATTGCTTGATAAAGTAATGTCGTAATCCAAACAAGAAGTATATATCCTGTAATAGATGGTTGATTACGTCTTTGAAGTTCATATGGAATCGTTGTGTTAGTTTTAGATTCGGTATTTTTCATTGATGGACTTTTATCATCATCATTTTCTTGTTTTTCAGAATCAATTGTTGGTCTACATACATCCATTTTAAATTTGTACAGAGAAAAAACACCATATAATACTACAGAAGAAAAAAGTAATAAAAACATCAGATGAAAATACTAAAAACACGAATATGAACAATTTCTTTGTGTAACAGATAAAAATATTCGAATAAAACACATACTAAATGGTATAGATATTTAACATATGAAGAACGCATAAATTTTAATATATTGTCAAAATATTGACAAATTTGTCTTATCATGCTTAGTATAAGAAAAAACAAAGTTACTTTGTAATTAGTATTAGTAATCTTACGTTGAAGATTATTAAATATTTCAAGCGTTATAGTATGTGTCAATTATTATTTTTTTGATTTACTTTTCATAACAACCAATAGCACTGAATTCAACAGGAGTCTTATTATCTAAATCTGTAACACCATGACTTAATCTCGTCTGAGTACCATCTCTTGTCTTAGAGAAATAAAAAAAATAAAAATTGAATTTGTATACATATTTTATTGAAGAAACAAAAAATACGAATATGAAATTTATTAGTAGTATATTTATATATATATATATATAAATGTTTTCTTGTTCTAGGTGTTAAAAGATATTATTCTTTTAGTTTTGCATGCAAAATAGAATTAAAACTTTTATTTATTCAACCATAATGAATAAAATTTAAAAGAAATCTATTTGATTTGTCTGTCGAATAATTTAATTTTATCAGATATGAATTTTCCTTGTAACATCATGATATTCAGGTTTATTTTTGGACAACTGGTTTTTCAGTATCTTTAAGCGTTGTGACACTTTCTTTATACTCACACCCACCTACATGGACACTATATTTCCCACAGACGTGTTGAGGATGGCACATCACGAATCATAACAAAAGATGGTGAGGATATGTCTGTCAAAGTCGATAAAAGAAAAAGCAATCTTCTTATGATTCATAAGAGCAGTTACATTTTGTTACTCATTTCAATTCCACTGAGATTACGCAAGCAACCTTTCTCTAGTGACTTTTCGATAATCGCTATGGTGGATCAAGTTCAAGGGTTAAAATAATTATAAAATACATCGAAAACACTATAAAACGAGAAAATTTCATACCTCAAGTCTTCTTAGTTAATATTACTTTTTCTATTTTAAGTTCTTACAGGCAATATGATATTCTCATTTTTTTTCTCTAATGTCTATGAAGAACGAACTATTGCATAATATAATTGATAGCTCTTTAAAAAAAACAATTTAAAACAATGCTTTTCCAGAGCAAGCAGCGTTTTTGTTGTACGGCGTCGGTGTGGGTATTCCAATTCTCCTGACACCCACACCCCACAACAACAGATACTCTAGGTCTTATGCGATATAAAAGAAAGACTTTTTTCGAATAATTTGACTTTTCTAATTAGTGAAGAATTTATTTCTAAGCAGTAACAATTAATGAATAAATAAAAGGGATGAAAAAATTAAGTGCGTGCAGT